GAATAATTTTCATAAAGTTTATGTACGTGTTCTCAAACTTTCTGAATGCGTTCACAAAATGTATGAATGCATTCACAAAGTTTGTGAAAACTATTCACAAAAATCTACGCATCCATTTTTAACAGTAATGCCAACTTGATTATAACACAAGGCAAAAAGGGAAAATTATTTGAACGAAAATTCTTTTCATTGTATAACATATTGGAATAAATTTCCGTAATCTCTTGTCAAACTTGGATTTTCGACAACGAAAAATATTCCATACATAAATCGTACGAATTTTTTCAGTTTGCGGCTTTAATTAAAGTCAAATCATAATTTTATCAATATAAAGTATTTAGTATTCTTTATATTTGTGTTCTAAGGAAAATATCGGTTGATATATATTTACGCCATTGACTCGGGAAAATATGTATGTATGTGTATGGATGGAATACTTATTTCTAAATTCGGTAAGTAGACCCCTATTCTTAAGCTTTATATTTTTTTTTATTTTAAAAGTTCAGAATAAATGCACCATTAAAAGCCAAAAAGTTTATTTTTTGGTCAATAAAAAAAAATTAAAGGTTTTTGCACATTTATAAAATATACATGCATTTAAATTTTAGCAATGATAATTATCGAATTTTTTACTAAGGACACAAAATAAAAACATTTTTGTCCGGTTTAGAATAGGCAGTGTAGGCATCACTAATTTGCTGGTTGTTAGGAAAGTGAAGTGTGTTTTTGTGAAAAGTGCAAGTTTTAGTGAAATAAACAGGTAAAACGTGTGGAAATTATTAAATATTACCAATTAAAAATGATTTGCACACTTTGCCTAAAGGAATACGCAAATATTGACAATTATGTTGATCACCTAAAAAAAATTCACCTTCTGACCTCAAAAGATAGGTTGAGCTGCCAATTTGTGACCAAGTTTTCAGTGGAATAAACATTTTAAAAAGACATCTGAAAAGGCATTCGAGCAACGAATTGTGGTCACAACCTGCAAGAGGGTGCAGTAGTGCTCCAAGTGGTTTAAAGAGTGAAGATATTGCGACAGCTGCCGATGCGCCACCAACTTCCTTCACGCAGCAAATTGTCTCAGCTGAAGATTTTAGTGTTGAAAAAAAGTTAAAAGACCTTCATGTCAGTGTATTGCAATTTTCATCGTCCTTGCATGGGCGTAGCAACTTTTCAAGAAAAGACGCGACGGATGTAACAAATATGGTTAAAAATATGATAATGAATCCAATTTTGGATATTTTAAAAGGATTCGTTGAAGCAAAAATTGGACACAATTTTGACTTGAGATCTGAATTTTTGGGCATCATAAATTCATGCTCAAGGATCACTGAGTCAATAAAATCGGAATATATTCTTGCAAAAACACTGGCAACTAAAGGATACACCACCATCTTAAATGAAATTGTGATCAATAGGGAGCCAGACTTTGTTTTAAAGAAAGGTGTGCTTACGTCTGGTGAAAAGCTATCGAAAATGGCAATAATGCCATTGTCACATTCTTTTAAAGCTATTTTAGAAAAAGATGACTTGCTTTTGGCAATGATGCGCCATATGGAGGAGCTGCAAGCTTCACACAATTTTACCAATATTTGCCAAGGCGATTTGTGGCGAAGTAAATGTAGTTTATATCCGGGTAAATTGTTGATTCCATATTTTTTGTACACGGACGATATTGAAATAAATAATCCACTTGGATCTCACGCTGGAAAACATTCCTTGTGTCACTTTTACTATTCATTTCCATGTCATCCTTTTGGCGACACAAAGCGAAATAGTATTTTTCTTGCAGCAGTTACTAAAAGCAAAGACATAAAGCAATATGGCAATAAAAATTGTTTGGAAAATTTTGTAGATCACTTAGTTGTGCTTGAAAAGGAAGGTATTGAAGTAAATTTGTCAAACGGGCAAGTATATAAGCCTCATTTTATTCCAGTTCTTGTTTTAGGCGATAACTTGGGACTCAACTCTGTTTTGGGCTTCAATAAATCCTTTAAAGGCACCTTTTGTCGGTTTTGCACAGCAAGTGCGCCCTTAACCAAAGAACTTTGTTTAGAGCGGCTTGACCTTCAAAGAAGTCGCGCCACGTATTTGGAAGATGTTAATAACAAAGAAAACGGTATCGTAGTGCGATGTGTTTTTAATAAAATTCCATCATTTCACGTAGTGGATAACTTAGCAGTTGATGCAATGCATGACATAATAGAAGGTGTATGCCATTAAGACTTGTGCTGTGCTATAACCCATTTTACACAAAAAATGAAGTTTTTTAACTTATCTACGTTAAACAAAAGAATCAAATCTTTTGACTATGGGGAAATGTTTCTATTTATGAACAAACTTATTTTTATTAAATTTTTAGTTTTTAAAAGTAATGATTTTTTTCTGTTTTTCAGAGGAAAATATCGACGTGAATATATTGAAAATTTTGAAGTTTGACCACTTGAAAGAGATTTTGCAAACTTTCAAAATTGGTGACCGAATCTTATTTGAATTCAACTTCGAAAACTGGAGAAACCAGATTAATAAACCTCTGCACTTTCACGCTTCCGTTAGCACTGCGTCGCCTAGTTGCTCCGCTAATTTTTCCTCAGTAAGATCTAGATCGCCTGCTTCCAGCCCTACCACTGGTTCCAATTCGCAAGATTTCGAGGAAAACGCTTTTGTTGCACTTGCAACAATTTTACACGCAGATATTAAGTCGTTACATGTAAAAGATTTTTATAAATGTAACAACAGACTTGACGACGCTCATAGAAATGTACTCATCAATATAATTGTAACCTACTACATTGCCAAAAACATTCACATGTCACTTCAAGTAAGCCACTACCTGGAGAATGAAATCCTAAGCCTTTTTCCAAATGAAAAGCTGAACTTCTACAGAACCGAAAAGAGAGGAAAACTGTATACCAAATATTGCTACTTAAAAAAAAGTTTCAAAAACCGTTTGTCTATAATTCCTGTACCTGAAGAAAATACCAAAGCTGATAAAATTGGTAAATAAAATTAAAAACTAGTTTGTTCGTTACAAGTTTATAAAATTTATGAATATGTACATTTTCAGCTCGCGATGATCATGCAGAAGAAATCATACAGCATCTTAAATACGACAATTTGACAGCAGAAGAATTCGAAAGCTGCTGGCAGGCCAGTGCAAATTATAGAATTCATCAAATAAAGGAAAAATTTAATAGCATTCAACAAGTTTTCGTAGACTGGCCAGAGTATAAAAAGCCGAACGGATATCGATTGGTAAGATTTTGATTTAAGGTTCCCTATTTGAGATATTATAAAAACTAACACTTTCGATGTTTTCAGATTGATCTAGACTTTGGTACGATTTTTCCCAATCATGATAATTTTCTTGTTGACTGGAAGCAAAAAGTTTTGAAGCTCTTTTTACATCTTAAGAGAAGTAAGTGCTTAAAGGACGGTGCCACAAAAATCATTATCAGCTCTATGTCTGAAGGGGATTTAGAAAAAGGTATGATTTTGTAAGTTGTACTTTAAGAATTTTCTCTAAGGGTAACAAAATTTTCTAATACATATACATTTTTGCTCTATTTTTTTAGATGAAACGTCCTTTGCTTTTAAGACTTTTTGGTGCCTACATGGATATCTTTACCCTACAGGATACGTTATGAAAAAGGATAATACTGGGAAAAGATGTACAATCAGATTCACCATAAAGGACTCTCAGGAATCGTATGCTTTTGTCGGACAAAGTCTTCAAAACCTAGATGATCACATTGATTTTTTAAGCCAACGTAAAGAAAACATACAGCCTTTTATCCTGTCGGTAGGAGACAACAATTACTCAAAATTCACTGAATTTTTTTTATATTTAGATGGTACAAAAATTCCATTCCAAAGCTTTTTACGCTGTATGGATATATGTTTCATATCCTTTTATTTATTTAATGTGGAGTACCCTAAAGCTTCCACAACATTTTGGACATTTATTGAAGCTTACTTTTACAAACTAGCATTACCTCAAGGAAAAAAAACTTTGAAAATAAATATTCTGATGCAAGAACTTGAAGACTCCTAATTTAATGTACACTTTTGGTCAGATAATTAAGTTAGTTACATAAGAACTAGCTATTTTTCTTTTTTTATTATTTTTTTATAAAAGTCTAGCGCATTGTATAACAAGCACCTAACTTAGTTAAGCTGACCACAAGTGTGTGTACATAAGCTATACATTTATTGCATATAAAAAGTTTTCATATTTATTTATAAAAAAAATCAGACTTATGTATATTACAAAAAAAAAAAATAATTAAAATTTTCATGAATTTCTATACATATGTATGCATGTATGTAAATACAAAACAACCGTGTCATCCTAATTTAATGAAGGTTTTTAATTGAAGTTGTGATAAAACCGTGATACAATTTTGTAATTAAATACCTAAATGATAAAGACTTCCAGAGCTCTGATTGGAAATTGGAGTTACCTTATCAGTACAAAATGCCTTATTTATACATATAAGTATATAGATTATTTTAAAACATTATTTTTGTAAGTGATAGCGAATTTAATGGACAAACTTTTTTTCTTTACATCATCAGCGATAGTTGATTAGATTGGTAATAATTTTCTATTTCGGCATCTGCTCGATATAGAATACGGTTTGAATCTGCCCTTAATTTTATTTGACGGTTTTGACTAATATTTTAGCCAAACCTCAAATGAATTCAATTAATGTCCGCAAAGGAAATGTATGCATAATATTTTATTTTATTATTTCTGTTAATACGAATTCTACCAATGAATTATAAAATTTTTTGTAAAAACAACAATTTTTAGACTTTTATGAAAAAATAATAAAAAATTAAATAAACAAGGGCTTAATTAGCTGATCGGAAGTGTATGTATGTATGTGCTTATATTTATATTTTATCTCTTTATTTCTGTTAATATCAATGAATTATAAAAATTTACATATATATATGTTACTTGTTCGCATAAATAAAAAATAATTTAATATATACAGATTAATTCTTTTTCTAAGGAAATTTTGAGATACAATTTTTATGAAAATTATTCATAAAGTGTATGAATATTATTCATAAATTACGTGAATATTAATCATAAAACTTGTGGATATCGTTCGTAAAGGTAATTAATACTTTTCATAGGGTTATAAATATTGTTCATGACGTTTGTGTGCACTGTTCACAAAGCCTATGAACGTACTTCGTAGATATTATGAATGCTTTCAAAATGTTTATGAATATGTTCATAAAATCTATAAATATGTTCATAAAGTTCATGAATATTGTCACAAAGTTTACGAATGTATACATAAAATTTATGGGAGCGCCTATAAAAGTAGTGAATACAGCTCACGAATATTATGAATGCATTCATAACTTTTATGGTTATAGTTCATGGTTTTTATATTTCGGTTTGTGGATATGGTTTAAGAACTCTGTTCATAAATTTTATGAAAAGATACATACGACGCATGAAGTCGTACATTGGTTCAATATTTATGATTATTTTCACGCGTCTTATGCACAAATTCATATATATTATGTACGTTTTTGGTTCCGTGTAGGAATGGTGTTGGACTATGCGCCGTAGGTACATTGAAAAAATGCCTGTAAAGAAACATAATAAGGGTATTCATCAAACCTTATAAACCGTATAAAATTATAATTGTGTAAACTTTGGAAATCAACTGTCAAAATTTGTATGGAAACTCGTTTACACATTTCAAATAAATTTCTACAACGATATCACTGAATAATCTTGATAACCTGAAGACAATGTAACTCTGTCGCAAGTGTATACAAAAAGAGAGTATGGGGCGTTCATGTAACAGAGCTCTTAAATTTATAAGAATATATGCTTGATAAAGCTATCGGTTTAGATGAATACCGCTAATATTAATTTAAATATTAGCATGGCATTTGAATTTAAATGTAGAAAATTACCTTTGACACATTTTAACACATGATAATTGAAATGTCAAATTACGTTTAGTTGAAGGCGGAAATGTAAAAGCAGCATCCGGTACCCACGGACATTCAAGGAGCTCATAATTCTCGTTATCGCTTAGTTTACGGTGACCAAAATTTGACGCATCATTAAGCGGAACCTGCAAGGACGTGGATATATAAATTCGGCCGCAGAGAACTTAAAACTTGATTTTCGTGACGCAGAGCGTTGTGAAATTACCGGCATATTGAAAACAATGAGGTTGTTGATTTTTTAAACTTAGGGAAGCGACCATTTTTTGGCCTTAATCAAACTACGCCTAAACGTTAGTATTCATACATGCTAGTAAAATTCCAATAAGATTTTCTCTATCTCATCATTACGTCCTGAGAACTGTGGGACTCGGGTAACTTATTGCCCACTTTCACCAAGACCTGTTTTAATTTCCTTTTCCCATAGGCATTAACTGTAGTTAAGGCGTGGTGGAAATGAACTCTTACTCTGGAATCAGCTGCACCAAGTTTCCCAGCGCCGGAGCGTATTAATTTTTTCCGTACTTGACACTCGTCAGATGAATTTTCGGCTGTTTGTGAAAATTCGGCAGCCGGAGGGGCAGAAGTTTTCAGTTTAAAATAGTTCGTTATTTTTACAGAATGCATTCGGTACGTAGCACTTTTTGCTCTGGTGATTCAGCGACATTGAAAATACACTTTTTCTCCCAAATAGATATGTAAATTAATTCCAATTACTTCTCCCCTTTCGAAAGCTTCGAAAACCTTAAAACGCAAACCAAAATGTGCATATAGTATACATGTAGTACTTTTAGGGATTATGTAAAGTATGTATGTATATAAAGTGGTGTTACCAGAGCATCTATACGGAGAGCTCATGCCCAAAAAACCCATCATTCTTCAGATCGATTGAAATTTTTTGTGAGCTTAGCTTGTTATCTATTTATATAAATGTGAATGTCTGTTTGTTTATTACCTTATAACTTTTGAGCCACGACACGGAATCGCACGAAACTTGGCAGACTTATTTGTTTTTACCCCGGGAAGGTTATAGGTATGGTCTTATTTGAAAATATGTCGTACATTTCGAAAGGGGGCGTGGCACCGCCAATAGACCTGCAAATGTTTAATCAGCTAAAACTTCGGAACCATAAGTCGAAAGAATTTGCAATTTGGTACGAAGACATGTCTACGGGAGGCGTTTATTGAAATTTGGTATGCAAACATATCTACGGTAGGTGCTTATAGTAAGGTATATATAAATGAGTTTGTAAAAGGGGGCGTAGCACATAACATGGGTGTGGAAGTTCTTATCAGCCATAACTTCGGAATCACAAATCACATGACCCCTTCAATTCCTTCTGATATGCCTTTAGAATTTAAAAAACTTCAGTTTCCAGTTCACTTAGCTTTTGCAATGACAATGAAAAAGGATAAAATAAAACCAACCCTTTATCGAAAATAAAATTTATGATAATTAAAAAAATTAAAAATTTAAAATTTAGTTATTACAATACAACTTTGGTATTTCAACTATTATATAATTTATTAAAACTATTTTATTATAAACATATTATTGCTTTTGATTTCATAGTACCCCAGCTAAACAACTATTCTACGTTATTATGCTATCACGGCTATATTAAAATTCGAGAAGAAATGAAATATAACATCGTTACATAAAATGTTTTTCATATTTATTTGTATAAAGACGTGCGGTGAAACCCGCGGTAAAAGCTAGTATGCATATAAATTGATATCAGGAGGGCTGGCTGCTGAACAACGTACTTCATATGACTTGAAATTTGGACAGAATTTTAACTAAAGTATATAGGAAACTAGCTTTTACCCGCGGGTTTCACCCCACCCCAGAAGGAATTATAGGGGTCATGTGACTTGTGGTTACAAAGTTATGGCAAAAAATTCCAAGCCTATGTTAAGTGCTACGCCCCTTTTACAAACTCATTTATATATACCTTACTATAAGCACCTACCATAGATATGTCTGCATACCAAATGTTATGTTTATGTGACTTATGGTTCCGAAGTTATAACTGGTAAAATATTCCACGCCTTTGGGATTTACCGCCCCCTTCCACAGTCTTATTTATATATATACCTTACTATAAGCACCTACCATAGATACCTGCATACCACATTTCAAGTTCATGTGACTTATGTTCCGAAGTTATGACTGACTAAAAATTCCACGCCTATGTTATCTGCCACACCTCCTATTACAAACTCATTTACATATACCTTAAGATAAGCATCTGCTATAGATATGTTTGTATACCAAATTTCAAGTTCATGTGACTTACGGTTCCGAAGTTAGAGCTGATTAAATAATTCACGCCCATGGGAGATGCCACGCCCCCTTTTCCAATACCGCCAATTTTTTCCAATACCGCCAATTTTTTCCCATGAGTATGGAATTAATTTTATTTATCTCGACAGCAAGTTCCAATGCTCTACCACAAATATTTCAAAAGATATACAATATGAAAATTTTAGTAAGTATAGGAGGTGCCACGCCCTCTTTTCCAGCACTGCCCATTTTTCTCTATACCTATAACCTTCCCGGGGTAAAAGCAAATAAGTGTGCAAAGTTTCGT